AGAGAGAGAGAACCGCGCGGAAAAGTGTCGGCGCACCTCGCGCGCGGCTCGTGCGCGAAGCCCGTTGACGGGCAGGGAGGAGCGTGGTGAGGAAAGAGTTATACGAGCCACCTAGGTCGGTGCACTTTGACCCGTTCGACATTCGCGAGGAAAATCGTACATCGGCGCGCGCGGGCGACGCGTTTATTTCGCCGGGATCTCCCGACTCTCCTCTCCACGTCGGAGAGGAGTGCAACACGCTCGATCGTGCTCCACGTTCCGCGACGGGGCCGGCGGAGGAAGGAAGGAAGAAAGAAAGAAAGAAAGAAAGAAAGAAAAAAGGAGGTCCGCTCTCGCGGGCTCTCGGAAGGGAGGGAATCGATTCGCGATCGCGCGCGTACGGAGAGGCGCGGCTCCGCCGAGAGGCGCTGAGAGGCGCCCTCCTCGAGTCGGCGCGGAGACATCCCCGGCGTCAGGGGGATTCGCGCCCCCGGCGTCGGGCCGAGGACACGCTCGCGTTTTTCCAGCCGACCCTACTAGCCGCGACACTTGGGAACTCCGGGAAATTGGCGGAGCGTTGGCGCGCGGGCGGGCGCGCGCGGGCGTCCGGCGCGGAGGGACGACACGGCGGCGTTTCCACGGGGAAACTCGGCGAGGGCCCTCGCGGAGGGGGTTGCGTGGTGTACACACAATCGAGAGCGGGAGTGCACGCATCCGTAGCGGCGGAGGAGCCGCTCGCGTCGCGCGCGCGCGCGCTCGGTCGTTGATTCGCTCGCTCCCTCGCGCCGCCGCTGCGTCGCGTTAACATTGCGGCGCGCGGCCGCGCTGCCGCCCGGCCGCGCCGGTAGGTGCGCTAGCGCCTGTGCGCCGCGCGCGGTGGTGGGGAGGGGTGGCGCGTACCACGTGACGCGGCGGGCCAATCGGGCGCGCGCATAGCCGGCGTCCGGCACATGGCGGCGCGCCGGCTTCGACAGCCGCAGTCGCAGTACGTCGCAGTCAGTCGCAGTGGTAACACGAGCGAGAGGGTAGTTGCACGCGCCTGCCTTCGAGAGGAAAGATCGCGGTGAAGAGAGGCGAGAACGCGCGCGCGAGAGAGAGAGAGAGAGAGCGAGAAGCGCGGGACGAACGGAGGGAGAGACGGAGGCGGCGAGCGGGAAAGAGAAAAGAAGGGAGCGGAAACAGAGCGGACGAGAGCGCGCGCGCGCGCGCCCCTTGCCTTCGTTTTCAGTGTTTCGGTCTCGCGCGACGGCTCGACCTCTCGGGACGGCCAAGTCAGTCGGCCGGTGACAAGGCAGCCGTACAACGCGCGACACGAATCGTCGTTACGTCGCCCGGTCGTCCGGTAGTCGGAGAGCGAGAGAGAGAGAGAGAAAGAGCTAGGAGTGAGCGCGAGGCGAGCGTGAGAGAGAAGCGACGGAGAGAAGAGGAGCGAGAGTGGAGGTGAAGAAACGAACGAACGAAAGCATCGGTCCAAGACCAAGCGACTGTAACGCGCGAGAGCGGAGCGGCCACGGGACCGCTCTTCGACACGAACCGCACAAACCGCACGCGTTCGACCAGGAGAGAGCAAGTGGGGGATATCGGGAAGGCCATTTTCGTTGCCGGTGCGCGATACGCGCGACATAGACAACGGCCGGCGTGCCGAGAGGAACGTGCGCGACTGACCACTTATCGCTCGTCACGCTCCGCGTCGTTGCCGTCGACGTCGTTCGCGAGCCCACGTTTCCACGTCCACGGGTCGGCGCGAGGTTACCGGCGGGAGAACGAGCGGCCGTGCGAAAAATCGAGCCGAGACGCCACGCGACGACGTGTCGTTACACCTCCGGTGCGCGGTGCGTCGTATTACCGTGGGTTTTGTTTTTACGCGTACGTGTGTCGTAGCGTAGCGCCGCGACGCCCAGTCCGATCCACGCTCAACCGTAACCGGGGGCTGTTGTCCCCGTTACCGTCGACATCGTCGTCTCCGAGGCGGCGCGAACCACATCGTTTGTTCGATAAGGAGAGGAGAGCTCGACAACGGTCGGACTCTAGTGCTACGTTATCAAGCAACATCGTCGACGTCGTCGTCGTCGTCTAACGTCTTGGCTAGTGTCGCGCGACACGAGAATCTGTAGTCGACCGAAATGCCGACCAGTCTGTTCAGCGAGATGGACCGCGGTACGAGCGGCGGCTTCGAGGACCAGCGCGCCCTGCAGCTCGCCTTCGAGCTCTCGATGCTCGGCATCCCGGAGGGCTCGTCCGGCTGCCCGGGCGTCGGTACCGGCAACGGCAGCAACACCGATCCGGATCCGCTGCAGGCCGCGCCGGCCGTCTTCGAGGAGGCGCGTTCTAAGAAGAGCCAGAACATGACCGAGTGCGTGCCGGTGCCCAGCAGCGAACACGTGGCGGAGATCGTCGGCCGACAGGGTAAGTGTGTGCGCGCGCTTGTGTGTGCGTGTCTCTGCGTGTGACCGCGCGCGTTTAGCCTCGCCGAGGCGAGGTCTCGCGTCTTCCTCTCTTCTTCTTTTTTTTTTAAATTTAACCCGGTGTCTCTGCCGCCGCGCGCTATCAACGTCGACGCGGCCGCGAGACGCCACGCGGGGACGAGTAGTAAACCGGATAAAATTGCGATCCCCCGAAAGGGAGAAGAGAGAGAGAGAATCGCCCGAGCGCGAGCGATTGGATTTATCGGACTCTACGCTCTCGTCGCCGGTTGAGCGACGCCCTGCGAGAACGAATCCCGGGGTCCCTCCGGTCGCGCTTCTCTCGAAATCGCTACGCCGAGCGACGCTTCGTTTCTCCTCTCTCTCTTTCTCTTTTTTCTCCCTCTCCTCCTTCTCATCCCTCTCCTTTTGTACGTCCCGGTTGGCGGAGTCGCGCGCGATTATAGCGCCACTGACAGTTCATTGGCACGGCTGTAAACGCGGCGCACGCCGCGGGAAACTTGATACCGGCCACGATAGAGCAATTAAACCAATTTACGTACGAATTTCGTTTCGCGCGCGCGCTCGCCCGCCCGCGCGTGCGTGCGTGGACCGGGCGGGAGACCGGCCGCCTCCCCCCCCCCCCTCCCCGTCGCCCCCGAACCTGTCGTAGGTCGCGGTCGTTACGGCTCCGTGCCTTTTCTTCCTCCTTCCCCGCGCCCCCGTCCCTACCACTATCCACCGTCCGGGGTCTCAACGACCGCGGGCGGAATAGTGTTTACGATTTCTATTCGCGCGGGGGATACGATGCGACACGATACCGTCCGCGCCCGCGACGAGCGGCTCGCGTAAATAAGGTACGCGTTGTTGTACTCCGCGTCGCGCGCGCCCGAGACCGATGACTCCCTCCCGGGTCTCAACCTTGAGGAGAGAGAGAGAGAGAGAGATAGATAGAGACCGGTCACCGTTCTGCGAAACGGCTAATTCGTCCCGCCGCGCTTCTTTTATCCGTGCCGACGCGACCTTTGTTCCGCCAAGAGCATCGCGTCCGCTTTGCGACGCCCGAAAACGGGGGGCCCCTGCGTCTCGCGGCGCCGGAAATGCATCGATTCCCTTGCCGATCGGACGAGATAAAATGGCGAGAGCGCGCGATTAGGAGGAACGTTGGGACGCGTCACGACGGCCCGTCGCGGCCGGTTCAAGTCCACCGAAATGCCCGGACGTCGTCTCTCCGGGGTCCCGCGTGGCTCTATCGTCGAAGCTATTTATCCCGGAGCCTCATTAACCTTCGTAATGTTTGTCGAGCGGCGCACGCTCAATCGTGTTCATACATTCGCGATCAGGAAGCATCGGTCGCTTACTATTTGTAGGAAAGATACCCGATCAATAAGAACGTACGCTCCATCTCTAATCAGAGCGATAGGAATCTCCTTCGTTCACTGAGCGATTAATCGGTCGGCGACGCGCGGGGGGAGGGGGGGGGAGGGCGTGAGAAGAAGGGGGGCCGCGACTCCATTGTCGAACGCGCCAAGTTCGCGCGCGCGTCTCGCGGAATGTTTAGAAATTCAAACAACGGCGCGGCACGTGGCCTTGCCATTTAAATCTTAACGTCTGTCGGCGGCGATTGTGCGCCGATCAATACGCCGTTCGGAGAGAAGAGACCCCGTATACGTGTGTACACACCGCCGCGCTGCCTCGCGTGCATGTATGTATCTCGCGCGCGCGGAGTTTTCGCGAGCGGGCGGGCGAATTTAATCCGCGGCGGCCTCGCGCCGATCGATCGGCCGATCGTAGAGCCCGAGGAACGAGATCCGAACGAAACCGCCGCCCCGGCAATCGGAGACGCCGCTTCCCGTCGCGGAGGAAGGAAGCCGGCGACGGGCTTCGCGGTCGTCGTCGTCGTCGTCGTCGTCATCGCCGCCGCCGTCGCAGCTGCAGCTGATACAACACTGGCCGCGCGACGTCGGGCCCCGCGCTTCAAATTCCGCGCCCCGCCTCGAGAATCGCGCCGGCCGTGTGTGCGCGGCTCGTTGTCCCTTTCGCCGCTCTTCCGGGTATCGCGCGCGCGCGCTTCTCGATTGCCCGTTTTATCGCGTGAGAACCGTGGTCGTTTGTTTCCCCGAAACAGTCCGCGGCACAGATATTTCGGGATGCCGATTCGAACGGAGTCGCCCGGTCGCCAGGGATCTTCGACGCGTCGCGGCGCCTCCGCGCCGGCGTTTAGCGTGCAAATCGCGCCGCAGCGCGCGCTTTCTCGCTCGGCGATGCGCTCGCGCATCCGGCGCGACCATTGATCGGCTCTCGTGAATGAGACGATGCCCGGGACCGCACGCAGACTCGAGTTACCACGCTGTCTTTCATTCTTTCTTTTCTTTTTTCTTTTTTTTTTACGTACAGACACACGCGAGTGGGTGAGGACAGTGTCCTCGGGATTTCGCCGGAGAGTTCACTGAATTCCCGAGTCGAGACCATAGACATATAAAAGATAGACTGCTTATGAGGCAGTGGGACCCTAGGTGGGGGCATCCTCCTGAGGGAAAAGGACAACATGAATTTATTTGGGTATCTGTCTGCCTCTAGTGGACGTGATCTGAAGGCGATCACGTGATCACGCCCACGTGATCACGTACACTAGAAGAAGATAGATACCCAAATAAATTGGTGTTGTCCTTTTCCCTCAGGAGGACATCCCCCACTACCTCATAAGCAGTCTTATCTTTTACATGTCTATGGTCGAGACCGAATCGCCGCGATTCGCGCGTAATCCTGGCCTGGTTTCGCCGATGCCGAGATGCATTGCCGTCTCGCGGATAGAGCCCGCGATCCCCTCGGTCAGGCCTCGCGAAACCAGTTTGACATACCTGGGCATGAATCATTGCCGCGCGAGTTCCCGTGCTCGCGTGGCCGAGCGGCCCGCCGACTCTATTCCGTCGCCCGGGAAGATCGCGATCCTCCGCGAAACGCGATCGTGCCGATGGCGCCTAATGAGTTTGACACGCCGTTCCATCGCGAGGATGTGGCTATTTGTTGATCATTTTCGTTCGCCGTGCCTCTCCTCGCCTCCCTCTCCCTCCCGCCCGCCCGCCCTCTCGTTCTGTCTCTCTCTGGCGCGCGCGCGCGCGCTGATCTCCGTCCCTCGCGATTGGCCGTTGTTGTCGGTTCTCTCTTTCTCTATCTCTTCCCTTCTGTCTCTCTACTCCACCGTCGATTATATACGGCTATCTTTCTCGCCCGCTCGCGGCTCTCCTGGACCGGAAGTTGTAATGAGTGCCTCTGTCGCCAGACCCATAGCCTCGCGTAGCATCGTGGCCGGCGATGACGCTACTTTGGAAATATCACGGCCGGTTATCCAGGTCGTTAGCTTGTGCACCGCGTGACTTCGAGAGGGAACTTGATTCACGAGGGGAATGAAAAAGAACGGGGAAAAATGTGTAATTGCAGCTTCCAGGAATTGTGGGAGCGCGCGAGGAGCGATCGCGCGCTATCCTGGCGCAGAGAGAGAGAGAGAGAGAGAGAGTCGTATCTACTTGTGCCCGTTTTATTGTTTTTCGTTTTCAATTCCAGCATTTCTGCGCGTCTCGCTCTTCGGTTCTCGTATCTGGTTGGAACATTGTGAAAATATCATAATGAAATTACACTTATCTCTCCTTTTCTAGTCTATTAGTAATATGTTATATCGCTCGTTGCGAGAACGATTTAGAGAATCCAACGTTAAGATATTGTTAGGCCTCAATTTTTGTGTCCTATTCCCCCGTCGTCGTTCTTTCGGAACATTTCTCACGCGCAGGTCACCCTAATCACGGGTAATCTCGTGCTTACTTCCGTGGCCGTCCTAAATTTCGGGGCATGTAAAAGAGCTCGTTTGACAGTCGTAAAGTCGAGTGATAAAAGTGCCGAAAGAACGCGCGCGCACGGCACACGGTGTGTACATAACGTTCCTTCCTCCTCTCGCCGAGCCCGTGGAAATTCAAACATAAAACGGGAGAAAGAGACAGATGGGAGGCGTGGCCTTCCACGCGTATTGTTCGCGAGCACGTGCCCGCGGTGTCGCGGGTCTCGCGATCCTGCGCCACGCCGGCCCAGGATTTTCTACAGAAACGGAAGATTCGTGTCACCGATGAAATCGTGTTAATGGGCTCCGCGTCGTCGTTAACGCGTCCTCGTGAAAAGCAGAATGGATATGCGGAGGGAGAGAGACGGGGAATCCTCCGTACGGTTTTTACGACTCGCCCGTGGACGCAGACCGGGGAACGCTTGGTTAGGATATACGTACGTAATCTCCCGCACACACGAGACTGAAATTCTGACCTCGTGTGCCGCCGACTAGGATCTACTCTCTCCTTTCGTGAAATATCGCAATCTTATCAGCGGAATGTTTGTCTTAGGGAAAATATTTGTCAAGTGACGCGGTTACCGTCATTTTCTTTTCCTATTTCAGATTGGACTTGCCAATATATACACCCTCGGAAAGAATTTCTGTTAGCGAGACGAAAAATATTCTTGACGCATTTACATCTCTCGCAACCTCATTTAGTATAAAACTAAGACAGTCTCAAAGTAAAATCAATAATTCTTATTCTCCTCGATCGAATTAAAAAAAAAAGATTGACTTACCAAATGTAAGTTTATACATTCTTGCGTTTAGAATAAATTTTCCCTCCATCTTGACACCACGATATTCGACACAAGACGGTACAACACTATCATTTTATTCTAGAATTTTTCACTTAAGATTAAAATATTCCTTTCTCTGTAATAAATTATATGATTGGCGCTATATCGATCCTATTTGATGATACATTCAAGTGTAATAGCATTGGATCCGGAAATTGTTTCTGTGGGTGTACATATACGTATACGTAGAAGTAACGAATGCCGTAGGAAACGACTAATCATCTCAATACAAGTTAGACTCCATACAACATAATGATGGGGATAATAATTTTGCCGAAGGTTACATACGTAAATTTCGGATAATTTGTGCGCGCCCGCATTATCCTGTAT